ATATTAATAGAATATAAACTATAAAAGACAGAAATAACATTTATATTGTGAATAAAATTAATTTATTGTATCACAATAAAATAAAATAAAATAATTAAATATTTTATAGTTTAAGAATTTATTTGTTAATAATTTTATTAAACTATTCTTTAATATAATGTTTACTGAATATAATTAATACATACTTAATACAATTCTAAATATATGCGAAAATTTTCGAAGGGTGATAGCTTATTTCCCATTCCTCATTTCGTACAACAAAATTTACGGTAATATATTCATTTAAAAAAATGTATTTAAAAGCTTTAAAAATGAAATAACAACAATACATAAAGTTATGGGGAAAAAATGTGGACTTATATACTTGAAAAAATAATTATTACGGCTAATTGTCTGCTTAACTTTGTGCAAATATAAATGAAAAAATAAATATCCATTAGATAAAAATGTTTTCTTTCTTTCAAAGCATCTTTTAAATCGTAACTAAAGTTGTATAAGACGTAATTCATTGAGTAAACTTTGATATTTGTCGAGAGTACTGTACATTAATTGCTCTTGAGTGAATGCTCACGATATTGTTATTTCAAGAAATTGAGATTAAACTTTATAAAAACATATAGAAATTATAGATTACACAGCATAGTATTAATTTCTTAGAGTATAAATATAAGCATAAATATATTTATAATATAATAATTCATAATAAATTTCAATAAGCGTTCATAAACATACATATTATAAACGATTTAAGTATATTTTGCTTAAAAATAAAAATATAACATTAATTAAACTTAATTAACTTTAAATTCAATTTAATTAGTTAATTTTACTTGTTATTTTCTACTTCGTAGGAAGAAAATTAGAAAGAAAGAAAGAAAAAGTTTTCCTTTGTTTCTTTAAAACTATTTAATATGATTAAGCTAATCTTTTGTTCAGTATTTAAATGTTTTGCTTTTAATTTCATGAAATATTTTTTTTAATTTAAAAAGATATAGATATAACATGAAACTATTTATAAGTGAGCATACCTTATTAATATCAAAATATTATAATTTAATTTAATGATACTTTTAGTTTATCACCATAGATTTAATAATTATTAACAACATATGTATTCTCCCCTGTAACAAGGCTTGCCTTTATTACAATAAAGTTCTTATAATAATAATAATAATTACTATTAACAATATAAAAATTTTTACTTAAACTTTGAGTATTATTTTTAGATGCAAATAATATTCAAGATTACAAGAATTTATTAATTTCTTTTAAACCGAAATTAAATAAGTCTGGAAAATAATCTACTCAAATACAAAAATAACATAATCATTATTGATGAGTTTAATACTGAAAATTCAAAATAAATTAAATTTTTTTCACGTTCTCTTTTCTTAAATTTTGTATAAATATTAATATAATAAATAAATTAAAAATGTAAAAATATATAAAGGAAACTTTTAATTTTTTAAAGTTAGAATTATCGATATTATCAATCAACATCAACAATTTCAAAAGTGGGCAAAAAGATTTGATAAGATTGATTTTGTTTACTAATAAAACTAAACAAATATTCAAATTCATGTCTCATTCGTTTATTTAATTTTCAATTCAAACTTTTCTAAGATTAATTACATTTAAAAAATACGTTAATGCTTTTTGTAATTATTAGAATGTTTTGAGAAATCTATACTAATATTATAAAGAGGTAATGTTTGTAAGTTTGTTTGCAGCAAGTAATCTCCGAAACTACTCATCCGATTTCAAAAATTCTTTCACCAATATTTAGAATGGAACCTCATGGTGGACATAGGCTGTATATTATTCCGTTAAACATTCATATAAATTAAAATATATAATCTAGGTTAAGGCTTTTATGTCCAACAGATGGCGCTACGAGTACGATGCCCTAAGTTTGCTTTTCTGTGAGGCATTACGCTTTTCCGTAAAAATGAACTAAAGCGGATCATCTTCTATTTATCTATATAAATAGAAATGTAATGTTCGTTTGTTCCTACCGATTCCTTTGAAATTTTCACACAACGCTGCATTCGAATACGCACGTGTTTTTATATAATATACGTGTCGAAATTCCCCCCACTGAAGGGAGATGGTTAGGATTAAGGCTTACCGTAAAGAACTCTGCTTCTATTTATACTATTTTAGATGCGGTTTTTTGCGTTTTTGATTGCGTTTTAATAGGGTACGTCAACAGAATATACACTACAAAGGGATTTTTCAATATTCCCCCATCGGGGGAGGGAGCAGGATTAAGGCTTACTGTGAAGAACTTGGCTTCTATTATACTATTTCAGATGCGGTTTTCTTGCGTTTTTGATTGCGTTTTAATAGGGTACGTCAAGAAAATGTACACTAAGGGATTTTTCGAAAAATTCCCCTCCCACGGGGGAAGTGTTATACATTTATAATAGATACATTTTGAGCCACAACAACGCGTGGTGGGGTCTGCTAGTATAAAACTAAAAATAAATGTCTTTAATGATCTCTAGTGTATAGAGTTTCTATTAATTATAAAAAACTTTTCTAAAATGGAGTTGAATAATTAAATCTTTAAACAAATAGTATTTTCCTGTCCTGTGATACTACTGCTCCATTACAATATTTTCCATTTGTGGTCGGTCACCTGCATAAAAACTTCGACTTTTTAAAAATGCACTCTTTTTTTACAATAGCTTGTTGACATGACTTGTAATGATGGCTCATTGAAAATATTTCTCTAATAATATACACTTGACCAATTCCTTTACTCAGAATTGGTTAAGTGCGCGATGTTGATCTTGATTTAAGATTAAAATATGAAATACTAAACTAGATTTGGAAGGAATTGTTCGAAACAAAAAGAGACACGACTTCTCCCATGATATTTAGATTGAACAGCTGCTAGACATATCATATATATACTGTAAATTATTAATATATAAAGTGAAAATATATATAGCCTACATTTTTTAACTTGTTATAAATAAAGTTTAGTAATAACTTTAACTTGTTTATTTTGAATATTGCTACTTGCCTATCAACTATAACTATTGCACAGATAGTAAAATGCATTTTTTTTTTTTTTTTTCATTTCTTAACGTTTTAAGGGGTCTTAATTAATTAAATTCAAAAAATATATAAAAATCTCGGGAGTCATTTTTTGCCAGATCACCATACTTTTCTTCTGTTATAACAGCCAAGAAAGTAAAAATAACTTTTATACTATTATTAATTATTACAAAAAATCCAAAAAGGTTAATTTTGAGGGTAGAAATAAGTTTTTAAAAATATGTATGGCTAAATCTTTTACTACACGCATTATTTTATATTTTATTTTAACAGTCTCAATCGTCGATATTTCAATCTTCCTCTTAGACTTCGATGCTTCCATTCCGTTGCCGCTCATAGCGGTGACCAGACCCTAAACACTGGGAAGTTCGGTCGTGGGTTCGCGCCGCGATCGGACAGGCCGGCTGCTTGGAGTTTTCCGGGTTTTCTCCTTGCCAATAACGACTGAATAGGAGGCCAGTTCCCCATAAAAGTCCTCCCGGAAGGCATTATTTCCCGCGAGCGCGTATAGGCCGTTCGGATACGGCTGGCTCTTCGGTCGCATAGCGATCATAAACATATGAAGCCCTTCGGAGAAAAGGCAAACTAAGGCCGCACTCTCCATATGAACCTGGTGGGAGAAGAATTAAAGAAAGAATTCGATGCTTCCACACACTTCTCGGATGCATGGTTAATTAATAAGTAAGATTATATTGAGTCGAATAGAAAATTTTTGGGTATATTTTAACAGTTGTTGCTACTTAACAGATTTATGACTTCATTATAACAATGCTAAAAGTATTGCTAATGTGAAGTTGTATTCTTTGTTTAGAAGCATATTAAACTTTTTACTTCACATTTTGTTTGATTAAAATGGAGTTGAAAAGTTGTTAAATAAAAACCATATCAGGCATATTATGCTTTATGAATTTCGGAAAGGATATAACCTCCTACAAACAGGAAAAAACTTCGTAATGTGTATGGAGAAAGATGCTCCTAAACTTCGAACATGTCAAATGTTTAAAAAGTTTCAAGTTTAAAAAGTAGGGGGTGTCCAAAAGCTGTCAACAAAGAAAAATTGTAATAAAAAATTGTTAAAAATCGATGGATAACGCACAGTTTATATAACAAAATCAAAAATAAAGCGAAAAAAGCACCGAAAACATACGAGCATAACGCGAGAGACGACTGGGCACTGAACAGATGGCGTTTATGTTTCCAGAACACTTTTTCACTGCACGCGCAGTTCGAACTTTGAATCGTCGTTCGAAGTACGAGGTACTGTACAAGTGCTTTAAAAAATATTGTATGCATTATTTACTTTGGATTAATATTGATGACATTTTCTATTTTCGAGGAAATAAAAACATAAATTAAGTATTATATACTACCATAAAGATGTATATGTAAATTATTTTGATAATATGATTATGAATTAGTAAAGCCTCAAAATAAACTATGATTTTATTTACTTTATTTTAACTAGAAGACATTAACGATAAATATATCGAAGCAAAAATGCAATCAATATTAATCATAAAACATATCGAAGCTCAGAGAGAAAAAAATTAATAAATAAATATAAAAGTTTCAACTTACTCGTATTTACTTTACCAGACGATACCGTTGCTTCGCGCATGCTCAGTTTCGCTATTTTGTAAACAGACGATATTTTTTTTTGTGGAAAAAACTTTTATTTCGATTGTTATCTCACATTTTATTTCTTGTTAAGATAGTATTTAAATTAAAAAAATGTTTTCATAAAATAAAGCCTCTAGCCAGCAGCAGAATTCATATTCGTGGCCACCATCTTGCCCCAACGCGCACTTTTCACACTGAATGCAAACACGGATTAACTTTATTTCAAAACTAAACAATTACAGTCTTAAAGGTTACTTCGAATATCATAATATCTTCATCTAAAATGTAATGTAAAAGTTCACAATGATACTTACTTTGTAGAAAAATCCCTGCAATAAAACGTTCGGAAAGAAAACGAATATCTAAAGATCCTATTTCAGAAGCCTGTAAAGAAAAATTTGCAAAGATAAAATATGAAGTATCGGTCTCTCGTGATCACATATATACTCGTATCACATATATCTCCAAAGAAGATGCGTGAAATGTTAATTTTAAAAAGACAGAAATGTGAACGGTTACAAAATAAATATAGCAGACAGTCTAATAAAAGGAATTCAAATAAGATTGTCAATAAAACATTATTCAAAAGCTCGGAGAAATGCTTTCTAAATCCGATGCTATAATGATAGAAAATAACTTTAATGGACTGCTTCGTGATCTATTAAAACATCAGCTTTTTGGTAATGAAGGCAATGAATATCCAGAAGAAGTTAAAAAGTTTGCTTTAACTCTTCACTTTTATTCTAGTAAGACATATGAATATCTAAGACAATTTATTAAACTACCTGCTACTAGTTCTCTACAGAAATGGTCTTCTTATATTGATGGTAGTCCTGGCTTTACTGAACATTCTTTTCTTTTATAAAAATCAGAGATGAAACTAAAATTCCAACCCATCCATTATCATGTTACTTAATTATTGATGAAATGGTAATTAAAAAACAAGTTGATTGGAATGGGAAAGAAGTGATAGGATATATTGATCTTGATCATGGAAATCTTGATGTTTATGATACTCCCATGACAACACAAGCACTTGTATTTTTAGTTACTGCAGTCAACAGAGACTGGAAAATTCTTGTTGGTTACTGTTTGATTAATGGAATACAAAGCACAGTTAAAGCCAATCTGGTAAAACAATATTTAGAGAAATTATATTCAGTTGGTGCTCGTGTAATTGCAATAACATGTAATGGATCTGCATAAAATATTTCAATGTATAAAGAATTGGGAATTAACTTTGATGTAGAAAGTTTGAAAAACTGGTTTTATCACCCTTCAACAGAAGAAATTAAAGTTTATGCATTTCTTGATGCAGCTCATATGCTGAAATTGATCTCAAATAAACTAAAATCATATCATATTGAATGGTGGAAACAAAAAATGAAGGTAAATATAACAGTACAGACATTAAGTAGATCTGTAAGTAATGCTTTTATAGTTTGTAAAGAAAATTGCATAGAAGCCTTTAATAATGTTGATGCAACTGCTGAATTCACATTGAAAGTAAATGTTATATATGACCCTATTAATTCTTGTCACCCAATGGGGAGATAGACAAAGTCCAGTCACAAACAGAAACAAAAACCAATGTTTGAAAATTATTATTAAAGAAATTGATTATTTCAGTAAACTGAATTCAGTAAAAACTGTTCACTTCTTAAAAGAAGGAAGATTCCAATAATTGGTCTAATAATTGATTTTAAAAAGCATAGAACAAATGGCAAATTAATATGTTTGGAGTGAATTTTTATAATTTGTATTAACTATATGTGTCAAATGGAAAGTATTAAGATTAGAGGTGCACAATTAAGACAAAAGTTTATAAAAATGATTATATTTAAAGGACAGTGATACACATCATTATTTTTTAAATATGATATACAGTATGTGTAATGTATTTTGCATTGCACTGTAATACTTTATGCTTAATATGTAATATAATGTCGATATTTTACACAATATATTTCGATACATTGTATATGTAAAAAAACAACTTGATTAATTAATTAAATTGCAAAATATCTTCAGTTATCATTAACTTAAATGTAGTCAATAGATGGAGCCATGTCACTGAAACTATCATGGCTGCCGCACTTCAATTCGCCTCAGCTGTAGTAACCGGTTTAGCACTCTATGTTATTCTATCTCGTCGATTCGGAATAACACGGGACAGGTAAATGGGTTTTTCAAATATTCAAATAAAATAAAACAGAAAATAAATCGATACCTTTAAAATAAGACAATACATTTGAGGAAGTTCCTTCCGCTGCTACTAGGCTTGCCGGTTAATGTGTACCTAGGTAGTCCAATATGGCGGCGCTTCGGTTAGATTAACTACTGTATATATTTTAGTAGACGTTTCCTTTTTTTTTTTTTATTTTAATCAATAACTAGTGACGTTTAGCACAAGGCGGCCTGCCGGCGGCTCCCCTCCGGGAGGAGTCCGTCAGGCCCACGAAACGCTGCCATTGGTTACCTAGGTACACATTAACCGTTTTTTTAATCCACCAGTAAACACAGTTTCTTTCTGGCATTTTGCAGATTAAATTAATATAATGTAAAGCACAAAATAATGGCAAATGACAACTAGCATTTCGAACTCGACTCAGATAGGACACGCGTGACAGTAAAAGTTTCAGTGTTGCCAACTCTAATTGAAACAAAATATCTAAAAAATAAAATAAAAATATAAGCTGAATGCTATTATAAATTGTGTGAAAAATATCTGTCGAAAAAAATAAAACATCTAAATTCATTATGTCACATTTTGGAGGCAACATCTAGAGTTTCTAGACAACATAGTACTTAGATTGGCAACAATAAGTGTAACAGAAGTACAGTGGCTAGAAAATATAGTGTCGAAAGCGCTTATATTCCTCCATCATAACCGTTCGGTCCATACATCGAGGTTAGTGACGTCACAGACAAGGTAACGATGATGTCAATCGTAGTGCTACTTTCGCTTTGGCTACGTGATATCCTTTCTTACAAGAACATCGAAAGCGATTAAATTTGTGCTTGTAAAGTGAATAAATCCTTAGGAAATGGCTGAACAGAAACTTTACTGACTTGTGTATTTCTAATTTATAGATATTACTCTACTGTAATTTTTAATTCTTTTATTTTTGTCGAAAAGGGTGAGAAATCTACATGCATATTAATCTGTAATTTTTTAAGAGAGATTTTTCAAATATAAAGTGTATATGCATGGGTACTTGGCAGTAGACTAATAATCGTTTATTTGTACATACTTAATTTTGTAATTTTATATTGGGACAATAAAGTAACATTCTGCCTTTATATTTTATATACTGTGTAGAATTTAATTGTAATTTTAATATTGCTTTATACTATGTCACATAATACTGTGAACAGTATACAGTATTATGTAACTGATGGCATTTGCTTAATAAATTCTATTTTAGGCCCTCACAGTGGAAGAGGTTCACAAAGCCATATAAAACTTACATTTTATTATTAAAAATATGATAAATTCTGTATTTTTTTAGTAAATATGAATAAACCTTGTTGTTAATAAGGTAATAACAAGAGTAGATTACTCTTGTACTCTAAATAATACTTGTTTGTACAGCACTCAACAGCTGTAATGTAAAAATAGACAATACAGTGTAGGCTATTTGATTTAATAAGAATCTTAATTAGCTTTAATAAAATGAATTCCTTCATAAATGTTAATAAAGTAATACTATATAATAATTGATTGCTAGTGATATGATTTATTATCGATCTAAATTCTTTTACTTGGCTACAGCACATTTACTATGCTTAAAAATCCCACTTAAAACCAATATAAACATAGGATGATACAGCCAGTGTAGCACAACGATTGACAGCAGCGCCTCTTGCGGCAACCTCCAATATAGGGACAGAAAATAAGCTCGATTTCGACACTATATTTTCTAGCCACTGTAACAGAAGGGATATTTTAGTTTGCCAAATAGCCATTTTATCCCAGGCTGTACTATTTTTAATTCTAGTATATTCGGCACTTTTAAAATTTTTCCAATTAACTGGGACAAAATGATAAACTAGCCGGGATGCTGGAACCACATTATCAAACAAGGACAGTCCCGGTCAAAACGGGACGTCTGGTAAGCCTATTTTTATGTAATAAACTCTATATGTCTTGTTTTTAGTGATATTTTTATATTATTGCTAATCATATAAATATAAATTGAGCGGTGTTTCTTACGTCATTAAGGCCTACAATGTGTGTCTTGTAGAAAGAGTAGCGAGGTTGCGGCCGACGTTTTCATCTCTTAAACGTGAACGTCGAACGTCGAGCGCCGCTATCTTGTAAGCGGAGCTCGACGTTCGACGTTCACGTTTTAGAAATGAAAACGTTGGCCGTAATCTGGCTAGTGTTTCTGCTTACAGCGTCAAGCGGTGAGTTTTTTTTTGTACGAAAATGTCTTCTGTACATTTTGAAATGTTACCAGACCAAATTTGGTTGCATTTGGACTAGTAAATATCTCTGCAGACAGCATTGAATTGGAATACTGTAATTAACGATCACCCTGTGAATCTACAGTAGTTTTTTTAAAATTAATTTTCGGACACATCTGGCAGATTTGAAAGATTTCATTTGCGTAATTAATACATAGACCAGGATCTAAAATTTAATATAAATACAAATTATTAGAAAAGCTAATATTATCTTTGTAACTCGTATGGAAATTTATTCTAGAATAAATTAAAGCTTAAGTGTAGACTGGGAGAATGCAATTCAACATATTAATTATTAATTACAAAATAAATTATTCTTTTTCAAACTTTGAACAACTTATTTACAAACATTCTAACTGAATATTCACACTAAATTAATTTTTAAAATATTTAAATTAAGATATTCCTATTAAATGTTTCTGTGTATTTAGTTATTTTTCATATAAGGATGACACGCCTGTATTTATAAGCAAAAAATCCAACAACGAGTTGCTTAACTTTCCAGGCAACATATGGTGGCGCCATCTGTTACGATATTTTATTAAAAATACTTTTTATATTTTTAATTATTATAAAATGGAAATAAACTTAATTTTGAGGGTAGAGATGGATTTTATAAAAAAAAATTTAAATACTAATAACGAGTAAAATCGCCATTAAGTCAGACCCTACTCGAGATATAACACGACTCCTTTTATCTCCCCACCTCCTAGACCTTTAACCACCATAATTTAATGACGTCAATTGGCATAATACACAAACCTCCCTACAAAATTTCAGAAAATTTTGACAAAAAACACAGGAGTTGTTAATCTTCAAAGAGATTAAACAAAATCGTGCCACACACACATACACAAAACATCCTTACATACAGAAATTACCCAGGAATTTTTTTGCATTTCTTTACGTTTCAAGGTGTCCTAAATCCAAAAGTTTTTAAATCTGGGGAGTCATTTTTTGCAGAATCGCCACACTTTCCCTCTGTTATAACAGCTGGGAAAGTAAAAATAACCTAGTCAGAACCCTGAAAAATGAATATTTTCCGGATAGTAACACGACTAAGTTTCTTTTCTTGTCTTTCAAGTAAGTTTTTATTGTGTATAATTTTATAATTTAAAAGAAAAGAAATTTTTTAAAACAGTCACTTGCATTATTTTTTGCGTCTTTGCGTGAAATCGAACATACGTGTTTTTTAGACCCATCTAAAAATTCTCTAATTAGCCTCGGAAGAGGGGTGACCGAATTCTTAAACCCGGTGAAAACGGGTAAGATCAGCTATATAACTATAAAGGTTATCAAATGTAAGAGTTTATCACACCGAATGACCAATTTAACACATATTTAAAATCTTTTATTCCTCTTTTACAATGTGTTAGGTTGTTCACTCGGTGTGATAAACTTTTACGTAAGATAACATTTGTAAATATATCAAATACCATAATATAATATAGTAAAAGGGTTAGAAGTACGAAACAATCTAATAATTTTTGCTGTTGTTATTTTTTATTCGAGCAACGCCGGGGTTATCTGCTAGTATTGCAACTCCGGTAGCCTATAAAAAAGCTGACAATAACTCACTATTTTGGTTTCGGTTTGATGGGATACCGCCATGCCATATGTGGGCGATCTGCCAAGGGAGATGTCTCTGGAGGACTTTCTATGGAGATATCGGCCTCTATTTAGATGTTAAAGACAAGAAGAAAACCCGAGAAACTCCACGTAACTAGCTCGTTGGTCACTGGTAGGCAGAGGCTCGCTGTGTCCACAATTTTCAGTATTCCTGTTATATGGAGGTCTTTCAAATGCCAGGCATGCCTACACGACACAGTTAAAAACATTAGTCACAGCTGATTGAATTTGAAAAAGGCCGCTTCATCAGGTTGACAGAAATAGAATGGCCATTTTGCCGAATTGTCCTACATCTGGCCGCTCTGACCTAGCTATGAGAAGGTTTGGACAGTAGATATGAGAAGACGCATATACAGCAGGCATACTTTGGACATTCCAGAAAATGCATCGGCAGAGATTAAGCCTGAAACAGCATTATCCATCACCAATAGATATATGGAAGTTTTGCTGTAGAACCGTCTCTTCCCATACCGTTAGCAGATGACTAACGAAAGTAAATTTGTATTCAAGGTGGCTGTTACATGTCATGTCATTAACACCCCAATATCGCTAGCTTCATTTGCAGTGTTGTTATGACAGAAATACATAAACTGCTATGGACTGGCAGCGTATCATCTTTAACGAATCCCGGTTCTATATGAAAACGGATGACTATCGTATTAGAATGTGTAGGTCGACTGGTAAGTGGTTCAATTCCTCCTTTATTATTGAGCAGCACATTGTTTCTACTGGTAGCGGGCTGAGATGGAAGTCATTTCTTATGACAATCGGCCATCTATAGTAGTGGTGCGAAGGTGAGTTCAAGAAATCCTGCGCTCTCGTGCGTTGCCTTTCATGATAGAGCTACAAACAGTCATTCTTCAGCGAGACGATTCTTCGCTGTACATGATTTTCCGAGAATATCTCTGTCACGTTGCCACACTTCCTTCCTTCCCAGTCTCTAGATTTGACGTCCATCGAGCATTAATGGGACAAGATAAAACATCAGCTTCGGTTATCCATGTTATTCAGTTATCCATGAGTATGAAGTTGTTTACACGGTAAAAATATAACGAATAAGGAAAATTCGAACAGAGGAAAGGAACTATTATGAAAGATTGTTCTCCAACGTTGATTTTCCATCTGATTTCTGGAAGAGGATTAAACGTTTACCTTCAGAAATAATTAAGATCAAGGAAAAGACCAAGATAAAAGGTAAACCTATTAGTGATGAGCACACAATCAGCAATATATTTTCCGATCACTATAGATCCATGGACGGTTTTACTTCTATCGTTTGACAGTACTGGTGCACAATATTACACAAGTTCTAACGTGTCAAATACAGTACTTTCTTTTTGGAAAATTCTACTCCGGAAATTTGTAACATAATAATGAATCTAAAAAATAGCATCCCAGATATGGATCCTTTAAGCAAGGACATAATGAAATATATATCTGATATTATAGCTATACCATTAACATATTTTATAAATAGATTTTTGAAAATGGTTTCTTCCCGGAAAAGCTAAATCATCATCTGGTATTATCGATATATAAAGACAAAGAATTCAAGTATGACATCGATAATTATCTATATCTATATATAAAAATGGACGTGTGTGTCCCTATATTTCACTTTTCCGCAAAAAC